CATCGGCAGTTCTTACTATCTCTAGAACACAGGTTAGATGCATAGGCAAGCTCCTTGTATTGAAATGCACTTTCACTCATCAATGACCTGCACGACACAGGCCCAATTGGATTCATGAAAAGATTTTGCTGGTGATAAAATTAAGCCTTCCTATACCTTCATGAAATTACTTGTCTGAGTTTATTTTGTGTCACAACACACATAGGGTGAAGTTGATTATGCGCATTTGTTTTTTGCTATACATAGCTAATAGAAGCTGCCAGAACTGATGAGTTTCTCCAGTACTTTGTTTATATTTCGTATAATGCTTTTGTTATCTTTCACCCACTCTAAGTATATATTAGCTAATACACACATCATAGGTTAAGAAAGAGGTAAAGATTTCTTTGCTGTCTAGCTGTGGTTTGCTGCCATGGCCTTAGGGTAAGATTCTAACTCTCACATTGATTAATTAGGCATTTGTTTACACCACATGTCTGGATCACAAACACTGATCTATATTCTGTGAGTTCTAGTATATTTTGATCTGTTTGCCAAAGACAAGATTATGATAGAGCTCTGTAAGCAACGTATAGTTTCAAAACATCTCTTCAAATCTTGTGCCTTGCTACATTCTGCATATTGGACAGGTAAAGGTATACTGTACTTTGCAGGGTAATGGAAATTCATAACAGGAGTAGTTAGAGACACTGATTAAACCTTATGTTTTGGAGACAAAGTGTGGTGTCCAGCCTAAGAGCAGTACTTCTGCTCAAGGGCAGATCAAATCTTCTTGATTATGTTCTTCTCAGCTCATTGCCATATACATGTAGTGATCTAATACTAAATCCTATGGGCAGGCAGGCAGGAAATTCTGAAGGCTGTCAGGACCTCCAGACTCCCACACAACACTTCTCTCTCTGCAAGCCAGGAGCACCACTGAACTTGGTTGGTTTGCTGCCACCCACCCTTGGGGATGTCCAAGACAAGGTGGAAAGTGGCTCCATACTTCAGTAATGTTCTCAATGTTCTCCTGAAGGCAAGAGTACTGTTTCGATGGGATGATAACAGCAGGTTATCCTGGCAACAAAAGTGCTGGATCAAGGTCACTGCAAATGTTAGCACCCATGGGAGGCTCACAAAAATCTGTCTCCAGTGCCACAAAGGGATCAACGATCTGCTGTGCTTCAACAGGGTAAGTGCCGCTGTCTGATCACTATTAACTCACTCCTTGGGGCATGAAGAATTATAAAGTTACCATTTCCAAGGACTTTCACACACAAGGTTTGGTACCAGTCATCTCCATAAAATGCCTCATCTGCATTAAGTATATACGAGTTAACAAAGCTATCAAGGTAGCACTACTTCCAGCATAGTGGTACTGGGTCCCTCACTACAGTTAAAACATAAAAGAAGCAACAATTTTCATCAGCTTCAGGCCACTAAATTCTCATCTTAACCACGAGAACTTACACATCTGATATGTTTTTACCAAATAATGGCATGGGACTAGGCCACATCCACAAAAGGTGGTTTTGGCCAGAATATCTCAGAGGTTTGTCAATCACACACATCATGGCATGCCACATTAAAACAAAATACTGAAGATACTGAAGTTCTGAAATAAAAAAACAAAAAAGTATGGGAGAAACTCAGCAGGTCTGGCAGCATCTGTGAAGAGAGAAACTGTGCTAATGTATCAAATCTAAAGACTCTTAATCAGAATCTGAAGAAAATACTAATTCTGTATTTCTCTCCACAGATGCTGCCAGAACTGATGAATTTGTCCAGTACTTTCTGTTTCTGTTTTATATAATGCCTCATTATCTTTCACCTATTCTAAGAATTTGATGAAGTAGAAGCATCTTCATTCTGAACTCTGAGCTTCTCAAATGCCCAGACCACATTCCTCTCAGTAGTAATGTAAAGATAGACATTCACAGCTCTGGGGATTGACATCTCAGTATAAATCTATGAATGCAGAGGAAGTGCTCAAGTAATCATGTTAATGTCTCGCAATGCTTCTCTCTGTCTGAAGGAGAATAATGTGCATAATAGGCATGAACGTGCCCAGATTGTTGTGGGGGAGGGGGTATCCCTGACATAATGTTCCTGAACCCTTTTGACAATCAGGCAGTAAATTTTTATGCTTTTCTATGCAGACTCCAGAACCCACTTCAGTAAACAAAAAAAGCAGTGCCCCAGTCCCCTGGCCCAACTCTAGTAGCACCTTAAGCACCACTTCTGAGGAGAAGAGTTGGCTGTCTCAGAAATTGTACTGTCAAAGACAATTTATCTACAGCAGGCTCAGGCATTTTGGTGAGGACAATGTTGACACTGGCGCATAGCTAGCACAGTAAGTTACAGCTGAGGCTTCTGACAATCAGAGACCTGTTTTCCAGCATTCCTGTGCTAAGCCCAGTAGAGATGATGAACATAGAACATAGAACAGTACAGCACAATACAGGCCCTTCGACCCACGATGTTGTGCTGACCTATTATCCTACTCCAAGACCAAACTACCCTGCATACCCTACATTATACTATCATCCACGTGCCTATCCAAGAGTCGCTTAAAAGTCTCTAAATTTCCACACGCCCACCACACTCTGTCTAAAGAACCTACCTCTGACATCTCCCCTATACCTTCCTCAAATCACCTTAAAATTATGCCCCTCGTAATAGTCATTTCCACCCTAGGAAAAAGTCTCTGGCTATCCACTCTATCAATGCCTCTCATCATCTTGTACACCTCTATCATGTCACGTCTCATCCTGATGAGTCTCTGGACATGGCCATTAATGAGATGATGAAGATGCACAGTCAAGTGGGGGGAATGTCTGGCAGAACTGCCAGAGATCATGTGCTCACTGGAGTGAAGGGCAGATGAATTTGCCCAACATCTGTCTGATGTTGTGCCTCCAGCATATCAGAGCATGGATACCTCCATTGACTGGGTGGTAGCAGCTGTGGAGAACCAGATCCAGTAGGGCAATCAATTCTTCTGCATATGTATGGGGATAATGACAATGTGGAAACATGGACTTGAGCTAGATGTGTGGATTTGGACAGTCACTCAATATTGTGTAGGCCCTCTCCGTCTCTGCAATAGGTGTATTCATTCAATGTTCAGGCAAGAGGGACCAAGGTATGTTGACCACCCTCTATGTTCTCCATCCCTTCAAGGGATGAGGGAATTACCATTATATACTGACAGGGAGGAAGAGCAAAAGCCCACCACCAAGGACTATCATCTCAGGACATTCCAGATGTGCTTTACCTATCAACCTCCACTCTGCCAGAGATCTAATCATCTCCATCAAGTCAGGGTGAGGAGGTTAGACCTACAACTAGACAGAAGATTCCCAGCAGGCTAGTACTTTCAAGGTCCCAGACCAAGGGGAGCCAAGTA